TCAGATGCAAAATTCTAAAGATAGAAATACATGTTCAATGGTACCTATAAACAAAGGTCAAGTGTGTTTGGATTCCCTCGGATTCCAGCAATCTTGCAGCTTCAATACCCTATCAGAGCGATAAGAACAGTACGAATCATCGAGAGATCAGTTAAAATTTTTTTGTTAAATATTTGTTGACAAAATCTTACTTGCCAGGTTGCAGGGATTTTGAATAGTAGCCGGTCATGCGGTACATCGATTTCATTGTATAGTCTTAACAGATCATGAACCTACAAACATCAACAAGATCGTAACAACACATCACATGTCAGAGATACACAAAACTCTGAATATATAATCTCATATATGACATAGAAACCACCTTACGGATAATGCCGTTTGTGTCATAAGCAAGACGTGCATCCACTTCAGTTGAAACTCGACCTGGAACGAGCTTGACAAGATCGCCACCTACGTTTACCATAGCCTGTACTTTTCTCATCAGTAATTAGGCAACAAAGATTTGAACATTGAAAAGACCTGGGAAGAGAAAAGCATATAAGTGATCAACCTTATTGAAAAAGCAAGAGAGTCGAGACTCAGTGGTTTCAAGCCCCGCACAAGAAAAATCCGCCAAAGCCATGTCCACAGCATTCTAATCATGATGTAAGAGAGTCAATCATGCAAGGTCAAAACATGATGCGATATATTTTCGTCTAAATATTAAAATGCCTAGATGCTTACTCGGAAAATCGTATCTGGTAGACCACAGATGCCAAGGAGGAGAGCAGAGCTAACAGTAGCGGCAGTTGGCGGGAACCTGCAGTTCAGTTATACACAACAAAAGAATCAATCAAGACACAAAATGTTATCTTATCGCCAAGACCAAAGAAGGAAATTTCACAATAACTAAAAGCTTAGAAGCATCTTAATCTGAGGACAAAGAACCTGGTGTTCCAAAACCTTAAGCTAGAGTCATGAAGTAGAGATATATCATACCTCTCAAAGTCATCGAAAACAACCGTATCAGGAACAATCTCACTAAAAGCTGATACAGCATCTAGCTCATTCTTCTCACCTGGAAACACACAATATTATCAAAAAAATTCAATCATGATCCAAACGCATTCCAGAAAGTATAAAAGTTCAGAACTTTAAGAAACCAATATCACTCAAGAACAAAGTTATACAACAGACACAATTTTGTCACTTAAAACATTTAAAATTTCAACTCCAACATAAATCAATACTATTCAGCTATGTATCATCAAATTTAGAACGAAATGGGATTCAAATCCCCCAAAACTAAGAAAAAATAGCAACTTTGTCTACCATAGTTTCCTAACAAGTGATTTTAGAGATTACAAGTCAAACCCAAATCATGGATTGTTATGTTTACATGAATCAAATTAATAACAACTGACAACAAACAATCATCAAAAAAGGATGTAACAATACCAGCTTC